GAACTGTTTCTGGGGAGACGTTGGTGATGTTTGTTATGAATTCCTCCAGATACCTGCAGGCCTGCTCCAGGTGGGTGGTGTTAATGATGATCTGTACCAGCTACAGAGACAAGGTTACAGTTCTAGCCTGAATCCTGAATGCTTTTCACGACTGTGTGTGTGAGCAGCTCTAACCTCGGTCAGTCCTATGTGAGGCTTCTTGATAAGGTTTTGCAGACAACTGCTGAGAGTTCTTGTCAGCAACAGGTTGGTAGATTTTCGCAGCATGTCATCAATCTCTGTTGAACTGGACACACAACAAACTTGACAGTTGCAAAGTGAAGAGACGACAGTCCGGGGAGATTAGATATGTAGAACTGTTGGCGAGTGAACGTAGAGTAGTGTACCTGCGGTGCAGTGACTCTGAGAACTTGAGGCTGGCGTAGATGAACTCTTTGACCTGGGTGTAGATCTGAGGGACGGACTGGGACATTGGCAGCTTCTTAGGAAAGTCCTGCTGCTTATGCACACACAGAAAAACTGTATTAATATTCATCCAACACAAGTTGTCTTTTAGGAAGTCTTTCTTTTACGTGGATGCAACCGTGCCAGATTGTGGAGACGGTGGAACACATTACCTTCTCTATCTCAGCATCGTGGAAGGGGAAGCGGCTGACAACCAGTTTATATTCCTCCTCTGTCTCCACTGGGATGGGACTGTAGTTGTCCAGTTCAAAGATCTCTCTGTGGGAACACAGATCAGAGTTATCACACACTTTGGTCTCCGCTGTTTGTTCAGAAACAAAAATGTTTCCATTTTTCAGTTTAATGTCGTCTCAGTGCCATTTTCAGCATCAATGATATGAGAAAAAGAACAACTTCCCTCACATGGTGTTGATGCTTTGCTGAAACAGTACGAACAAAGCTGATTCTGGTTTTAGTTGTGTGTTTTTAGCAGCTCTGCTTTGTTCAAACAAAATATGCAGGCTGCATACAGACGGGGACGTCACAGCAGAAGAAAGCCTTACCGCAAACACAACTGTTATTGTCAAACTGTCATTTTTTAGTGTTTCTGCACGTCCTACTGTGGCAGACGCCACACGTGAGTGAAGCCCACCTGAAAACCAGTGCCCATTTCTTCAGCAGGGTTTCGTTGTACTGGTCTCTAACCTCAAACAGCAGGTCAAACAAACGGTTTACCGGGAAGCCGAACCCCTGCACAAACATCACACGGTCAGAAAACACGTTTTCACACGAGTCATAAACAACAAAGTCCCGCTCTTAACCAACCTGTAGTGTGTCAGCAAAGATGACTATGAGATTCTTCAGCTCCAGCACCAAGTCTGGGTCGTCACAGTATGACTGCAGAAAAAGAGAGTCGTCAAACACTGGTCTAACGTCGCATTATCTGCTTTGCTTCCTAAATCTATGTTCATGTGAGTCTTTGCAGTCCTCTCAAAATCGAACACCCTGTCACTCAAAAGCTTGTCCGACCACCTTTAGCAGGAACTGAACTTTGTGTGAAGTTCTCTTGTTGACAACATTGTTTCAGTTCACTGAGCTCTGTTTAGGCGTCGCACACTTCAGAGCCCACCACAGCATTTGATTCCTTTTCTTTCCTGACACTCTGCAGCACATTTGCTTATGTGCTTATTATCATCGTCCTGCTCCATGACCCACTTTGGGCCTCAGCCGTCAACACAGAGAGCCTCAAATGTGATTTTGAATACATATGAAGTAACTGCACTGTATGCTGTGTAGAGTTATAACTAGGTACATTTTTAATTCAATTCAATTCAATTCAATT